CAACTAGAATTTATCAAATTATGTTTTTTATTCATTGTTTCTTTTATTAACTTGGTGTTCGGTGACTCTACTAGAGTACCCACAAAAAAAAAATATTTTTATTTGTTTATTTTTTTTTAAGTACGCTCACTTTATGTGCAAGGTTGTATATACATATATTTTTTGTTTTCATACTTTTTGAATAACTATTTTAGAGCAAACATTTATGATAGCAAATTGTCCTTGAGAATTAGCATGCACAAAATAAAATGTTCTTATTCTATTTGTTCGTCAAAATATTATACAAAAAAGGTCAATAATATTGTTTATAGATCAATGTATTAACCAATATAAACAATATAGATAAAGCTAAATATGTTCACTGTACGTCAATAAAACTTAGTGGTATTTAGCGGAAATAAAGCACAATATAGAAAAAATTATTTTCAATAGTTATAACTTATGAATCATTTTATTATTATATTAAAGGATCTATAATATTGATTTATTAACTGGATGTTCGGTGACTTTGCTAGATTATTGAACAAACAAATTAATAAGGAGCATGTAGAGTTACTCTTGCGATTTTGATGTATTTATATATATTTCTATATGCTTTGAACAAGTGATTCTTAATTATGTGATCCATTTCGTTCAGCATTATTTGATTTCAATAGGTATTTATTTACATCAATAAAAATCCTAATTTTCATTAAAAATTTATATCCTTATTCAACATTTATTATTAATTAAATGTAATTTATTTATTTCTTTGTTATGAGTTATGTTCAGAAATTTAAATATATTGCTGTTGAATTAACAAACATAAACAATTAGTGAAAATGCAAATTAATTATATAAATGTTATTTACGCGAAAATATTATTGTTATATATATAAAATTTTCTCTCACAAATTAAAAATATAAATATTATGCAAATTAAACTCTTTTATGTGTAATTGTTTTTATCTCCTTAAGATCTCATTTTTATTGGTACTAAATCTTACTCTCCATTTTTATTTTACCAATTTTCTCTCTTTTATTAAATCCTTTTAAAAAAAATAAATATATTTATTTTTACATATATCCATTTATTAAAGGAAAAAATAAAAAAAATTTAATAATTTTTTTTTTTTTTTTTTTTTTTTTCCGCGTGTGCAAAACCAACTACGTATTCTTCATATAGCTAATCCTTTTTATTACCAAAAAGGTTAATGAAGCCTTTTATTGAGCATTAATGGACGAATTAGGATATGTCATCATAAAAAAAGAAGGATAAACATATATATATCATGGAAGTTAAACCCGATGTAAAGGAGGATGAATTAAAGAATTGGAATAAAGAAATTATTCAGAAATTTATTAAAGCACCTAACTTAAAAGATAAGGAAAATGAAAAAGAGTTCGAAAAATTATTAAGAAATATTACAAGACTCTTGAAAAAAAAAATAAAATCATGGAACCTAACAACAAATACAAAGTTTCTATTCAGGTACAAGGAAAAACTCGGCGTTATAACCCTAAACCATTGCTTTATTTATTGGGTGTCGGTGACTTTGTGGTTTATAAAAGGCTTCATTAAACTTTTTGGAAAATAAAAGGACTAGTTAAATGAAGTATATGAAGTTTGTCATGCATACACACACAAAAATAAAAAAAATTGATTTTTTTTTTTGTTTGTACTTCTTAAAAAGAAAGTACAAAGAATGTCAGAAAAAAAAAATTTGATAAAAAAAAATGTAAAAATATGCAGGAAAAAAATTGATTAAAAAAAATCAATTTTTTAAAATATTCTTTACTAAGAAAATAAAAAAAAAAAAAAAAAAAAAAAAGATTTTTTTTTTTGGAAAATGGAGAAATTAAATGAAGTATTTTTATGATGAATTTTTCAAAAGAAAATTTTATACATATAAGAACAAAATTTTCATGTAATTATATTTATATAATTTTTTTGTTTCTGTTAATAATTGTTTATGTTTGTTAATTCAACAGCAATATAAAATAATTGCTGAATATAACTCATAACAAATAAACTAGTAATTATAATTATTAATAATTAATGTTAAATAAGTATTTAAATTTTTAATAAAAATTAGGATCTTTATTAAAGTAAATAAATACTTATTGAAATAAAAGAATGCTGAACGAAGTAGATTATAATTAAAGATCACTCGTTCAAAGCAAATAAAAATATATATAAATATACAAAAATCGTAGAGGCATCTCCACATGCTCTTTATTAATTTTTTTGTTGAGTACTCTAGTAAAGTCACCGAACACTTAGTTAATAAACCAGCTGGTAATAATTTTGCATACAACTTTTCTTATTCTATTTTATCCTATACTTTTACTACCTGATTTATTTACTATCCACAATTTACATTTTTAATTTATTAAATTATCATTCAATGAATTTACTATAATAATGAAAAACAAATTATTAAAGAGAATATGGAGTTTTCTCTAGTAATTAAATGGATTTTAAATATAATTTTAATGATATAAACAAATAAACTGCAATAATGCGGTTCTTTGTGAATTTACATTGATAAAAATTATGTATTTTTATTAAAAGCATATATTCTCATTAATTATTAATTTTTAAGTATAAAATATTTATGGCTTTTTATAAGTAATTTTCAGTAATTCAAATTCACTGCTTTTAAAAATAATAAAAATACTTAATAAAAAAAAACTTTAATTATATTAATATCACTTAATGAAAATTTGATTCTTAAAAATTAAAAAATATTCTCATGAAATTTTTTCATTCTAAAAAATTATTCTATCCTAATTTTTTTTTTTTTAAAAAATAAAATATATCTCTATAAAAAAAATTTAGAGAAAATATTAATTTTTCTTTTATTTAACTAGATCTTGTACAAAAATAATTCTATATTCTCTGTTAAACCATTAATTTTTATTCTCGTAAATTTTATCATACTTATAAAAAAATAAATATTTCCCAATATTTAATTTCTTAATTTTTACTTTATTTTTTCCCTACTCTTTCTTAGATTCGGATTCTGTTTTATTGTCTCTCATCTCTTTCTTCAATACGTCTAATAATTTCTTTAATTCTGAGTGATCTTTCGTATCACTAAGAATTAATATTTGTCTTCCTTCATCTGGAATATTTTGTTGATAAATTTTTGAAGATAGATTAATAACTTTATCACGTGAAATATTTTTCCACTCAATATTCATTTCATGGTCTCTCAAATTAGGGTCCATTTCTTTTGCTTTTTTATCAAAACTCTCCCACAATGATGGCTTTTTGACTCCATGAGATGGATTCTGGTATTGAAATCGATTTTTTTTTTTTTTTTTTTTATTATATGATGGGCATTCTTCTAGACATCCTTCAGCTTTAGTTTGCTTTTTATCTGCTATGTCACCCTCGGTTAATACTCTTTCATATTTTAACTCATGTTTTGTTTGCAATATATTTTTATCAGTCCATGTTTTATAGTAATCACACTATGGATTAAATAAAAATTTTTTAAGAGAATGTTTCTTTTGTTAGAATAGTAAATCAAATGGAATGTTAAAAAGAATT